AGATTACACTCACCACGTGGGAAGGGCTGCTTCCTTTCACTAGCCATCACATTCACCAATGTCATGCCAACACAGTGAAGTTACTTTTGCAGCTCCATCCTCTGTCATCTTTGCTTAGTTCTTCATCAAAAACCATATCACTTGGTCATAGATATAACACAATTATCCAGCCGATGACATTTTATCTTCCCTTTCTTCTACGTCAGTGACTCCTCATTGTAACTGCTGCTTAGAACAAGCTCCTCAACGAACAGTGGATTCACTGAAGCAGAAAACTATTATTATCACCATTTGTAAATGCAGAAGGGTGGGACTGACCTATATGGACCTGCCTGGCATGAACGATCCCTCACAAGGGGCAGTTCTGAAAAGGCTGCAGCAAACAAAGGGTGCTTGCTTTTTATTAGGGACATCTCTACCATCACGTAAGTCCAGGAATTTCTTAAACAGAAGTACTTCTTAGTGGTTCTCAGCACTAAGAGATTAAAGTTCAAGCAGATATCTGTAGATGATAAGACATTTCCTCAGCAAAGAAAACACTAACTTCTGTGTAACAAAGGGGTCTTCCATTTTAATCCCTGGCTCCTCCAAGCTGCAGATGTTCCACTGTTCTGAGATTGTCTGGGGTTTGCTGCAACAATAACGTCTTGTACATGATTTCTGGGGGGACCAGTTCTGTTAGTAAAAAATTCATCTCAATGGAGCCATGCCAATTTATATTTGACAATGGTGTGGCCCTGATTTCCTGTGTAGAAAGCTGCTTTCCCAGTCCTGATGTTTCTACTGCTTCATCTTCCAGGTTTGCACAGAATTAATTGTCACCAGATGATAAAATAAGTTCAACGATCTCATCTTTATAACTGAACCTCTCTATTTCCATATGGACACATGAAAGATGTTTGATTTAAGGAGATCAATGGCTCAGTGAGTCATATTGCTCAGATCTTTGCACAGATGGGGACCCCCACTCAGCACGTAAGTCTGTTCCTGTGCAGAGTGAATGTAGGATGGGGCTTATCTCCATCACTTTGGTCCCTTTTTAACATTGAAAGGCTCATCCTGAGATCCATAAATGCTAAGGGACTTTATTAGGAAAAGAGCAAGAGAACCCCTGAAAATGAATCCTGAGTCTATGTTGCTAGTTGTGTAGATTTCAAGATCTGAAGTGTATGTCCCTTGTGGCGACAACAAAGGACAGAAATACTTCTCCAGGAAGCCAAAGACATATCAAAGAAATTACAGAACTGCACAAGGGTACCAGGCATCCATGTGGCCTTTGTGCAGCAGAGCTTGAGATATTAATCTCTTACTCTCAAAATATTCTGGGATGACTTTGAGAGAGTGTCGTGGTTTAACCCGGCCGGCAGCTAAACACCACGCAGCCGTTTGCTCACCCTCCCCCTCCCTCTCTGGGACAGGGGAGAGAAATGGAAAGTGAAGCCCGTGAGTTGAGATAAAGACAGTTTAATAAGACAGGAAAATAATAATAACAATAATAATAAAATAATAATAATAATAATACAATGGTGATAATAGTACTACTAATAATAGTATGTACAAACAAGTGATGCACAATGCAATTGCTCACCACCCGCTGACTGATGCCCAGCTTAACCCTGAGCAGTCCGGCCCCCTCCCCCCGGCTAGCCACCCCTATATATTGTTTAGCGTTATGTCAGATGGTATGGAATACCCCTTTGGCTAGTTTGGGTCACCTGTCCTGGGTCTGTCCCCTCCCAGCTCTTACTGCACCCCCAGCCTGCCTGTTGGCAGGACAGAGCAAAAGGCTGAGATGTCCTTGGCTTGGTATAAGCACTGCTCTGCAACAATTAAAGCATCGGGGTGTTATCAGCACTCTTCTCATCGTAAGCCAAAACACAGCATTCCACCAGCTACTAGGAAGAAAATTCTGTTCTAACTGAAACCAGGACAGAGAGAAATGTCATAAAAAATATTTCGCCTCCTGCTTCAGTGAGGAGTTTTTTGCTTTGGGTAGATGGAAAATTTCACCTTTTTACCAGCAGCGCTATGATATAAATAGAGTGTGCTAGTGACTGAAAGTTATATAGAAATAAATGAAAGTTTCCATTGCCAGGATTTCCAGATACGGCCTGTAACAAGGTTAACAGTAGCCCCCAGAACAACCACATCTGAAGTCCATGGTGGCATCTTATTAACCTCGGAGAACTGATGTTTGGGTTTCAGCATGACCAGCAGCACTACAGCTGCTCTCCTTGCAGTTAGCCTCTGCAGGCCCAGTGATGCTCAAGACTGGGCAGCAGAGGTGGTTATGGATCTGCCAGATGGTCTGGAGGGGTTGGGCAGAAGGAGAAACTCTTCCACCACACCGCATTCCAACCTTTCCTCACTTTCAAGACTTTTTTTGTTATATCTCTGTACTTCCCATTTTTTATGTATTGGCTCTCCACCACTCTCCCAACCCCTGATCACCTGTTTCATCAACATTTTTTTTTTTTTTTTTACCATCTCTGCACTTCCTTTCAGATCTCCCTTATTGATGGAAAGCTTTTTAAAAATTAATTCACAAAGGCTTTACTTCTCTCCTCTTTCAGCTCCTTCCTCAAGATTTACACCCACCAGAATATTTGCAGGAAATTGCAAGCTAATAATAGCTTTGCAGACAACCAGTGATGATGGTCAAATGTCTTTGAAATGGGTTCAGTTTTATTTGTCTTTCTCACCCTTTGGATTAGATTATCTCTTGACTTGTAGATGTCACCACCAAGTTTTTTAATCTCTTTGTTAAGCACTGTAATTTCGCTACATGGAGCTCTGCTTGCAAGTTGTGCGCTAATTTTAGCCTGGACCAGAGAGATGGAGCACAGTGGAGCATGGAGGGTTATCTCTACTATGTCCACAGTTGAACATGTATAGAATGTTTGGACTTCAGATCCTGGAGGACTCCATACGCTTCAAGGCACTTGGGACCCTATCCTCCCCAGCTCCTAATGGGCATCACACAGCACTGGGAAGCTAGGGTTACACACATTTTTTTTTTTCTCGTATCTCCACCAATCCAAACTGGTTCTGGATGCTTCTGTGAATTATTATGGAATTGTCCAAAAGGTAACAAAAGAAAAGAAATTGGTATTGCTACTTAAACAGACACAGAAATTTACATTTTTTTTCTTCTCTTATGCTTGCTTTAGGGACTCTATAATTATAGTAAGATTAAGTTCATGGTAACATCCTGTAAAAATTCAGACCAGGCCCCCTGAATACAGTGGAGTTAAAATGAGTGTAAGCAAGGATGGAATCTGGTCCTAATTTAGGACCAGATCAGTGCCACATCTGTTGGCACTGATGGAGCTGACGAAACTTATTGTCATGTTATTTTCCTACCTTTGAGATTCTTTTGAACATAGACCAAACCCAACCATTTTAAAATCTCAGATCACAGGCAATGTTATCCATCCCCTCACGTGTTGCCGGTGAATTCCACCACAGCACAGGATGGCCTTGTACTCACTCAGCTAAATCATGATGGCTTGAGAAAATAGCTTCATGAAAAATAATGGCTAAAATTGTCATCTTGTAACCTTTTTAAAAGGTGATTAACTTTTCTATGATGAGTTATTCTGTGGACATACTTCTGACAGCTGTAAAATTAATAAGGAGTGACAATTTGTATGACCAGCCCAAGGAGGAGTTACCACAGTCTTCATCCAGGCAAAACTCCAAGAAGGTCATGCAGAGATTTGCATGAGTGATGAATTTATTGCTTGATGGCTGTGAATTTATTGCTTGATGGCTGTGAATCTAAAAAAAAAGTAAAAAAAAAGAAAAAATACCTTTGAACCACATTTTAAAACTTATATTCTTGCTGTTTTCCATCTGTTTTGACCCTTTCCAGAGTGAATGAGGGAGCAGCACTTTGATATAAAGCATAGAAGGGTATTCTGTACCACATGTAAGTAGCTTGCATGCAATGAAATAGAATATTTCTTTTTCTCTGACATCCAATATATCCTGGTGTTGATTTATGTATCTAACTTAGACAAATAATATGTGTCTTTTCTGTCTTAAGAAGGGAAAAGACTACTGCTTATTGCTCCAGAATAGTTACCATCTAAGGAATTCAGAATCTGATTTTACAGGAAACACTGTTTGGAGAAAGTACTGATTTTGTGATGGAGAAAGAGATTCCACTGTTTTTAAGCCATGCTTTTACTTCTGAGTCAGAAGCTTCCCAGGTTTTGTGCACCATTGTTAGTGCTTTAAGGGACAAAAATACTCTTGAGCAGATAAATACCAAGTTTGTATAACTAACCCTCCTAGTGCAAATGTTAAAAATCAATTTCCTAGGAATTAAAGGTGAAGAAAGGGTAAGATTTTTTTTCTGATTTACATGAGTATTTTTAACCTGATTTACCTGAGTATTGCCTGCACAGCCTCAGAGTTCATTGCAAACTGAGAATGAATAATAATAATATTCATCCTTACCCTATAGCAGTGCAAATATGGGCTAACTCCTGTGTTCAATATTCTCCCTAAGAAGTGATGCAAGAAAAAGTCAAACCAAACACAACAAAGTTGGTGTGCAGAATTTTAAATAAAATAAGACATATGGAGAGGAAATTACACTATAATAATTTGATTACATATTTCAAACAGATTTCAGGGGCCCATAGCATATTCATAAAGAAGATGGATTTGTTAATGTAAAAATAGTAATACTAATATAAATCTGGAGTTGGTTCACTGGCATCAAGGTAGCTCTATTTATTCTGTAAAATCTTGCTGGTATTTTTCCCCTTGGCCCATTTTTAGCAGGTAATTATTAATTTTGTAATCTGATCTCTTATGTAATAGACCATCCATAATAGCAACATTCATCAGGAATGGATAAACAATTCTGCACAACAGGTGCAATTCAGCTTTCCCAATGGATTATTATTCATGTAGATGCTCTGAATCCCACTGAGGTTATCCAGAAACAGAATTGGAAGGCTTATGTTTTTCAAGATGTAACCCAGGAAACAAAATAGAGAAGGCAGAGTTATGAATCAGAATCATCCATGATACAGACTGAATGCAGGATGCAGATATTCAGTCCTAAACCTTCCCTACACGAGAGATTTCAGAAGTTTTTAGGGAGAAGAAGGTAAAGAAAAAAGACACCCATCATCTATGCACATGAAAAAAAAACACTATCTTGACACTCATAGTGCTGCTGACAGATAAAAATCTTGTAACTCCCTCCCTTACCTGGAAGCAGATAACAGCTGGGGTGCTTGGCACCACCTGAGAAGGAGGGCGATAAGCACACAGGGAGGTGCTGAGCTCCTTATCCTAAGGAGCTTGTGAAAAGGAGCAGGTGTGCTTGACTTCAGGGAGGGAGTGGACATGGGAGATCTTCAGCAGGAACTAAAAGTTTTACTAGCATTTGTTTTCTTTTTGTGACTGCAGGGCTCAGGCATGTGTAGGTGTTGTGTTGTGTTAGTCCTTTGCTGCTTGGGATTGCTGTCTGCAGGTAAGTGGCACCTCTCTACAATCTCTTCTCTTTTGGTGCTCCTCTCTGCATCTCTTATCTTTCTGTCTCACTTGGGTGCTTTTGCTTCTTTTTGGGTGTTAACTCTGTTTTAGGACCTGTGCAGAGAAAGATTTTGAAGTGTGGTTTTTTTTTTTTTTTGGTAAGTTTTTCTTCCAGATCAGAGCCTGAAACCTCAGCTTGGAGACCCTCAGCTTGCAACAAATAATCCCACTCTTACCACAGTTTCTCTAGAGAAACCTTTCTGTATGTTTGATAGCTCACTGTGTCCAAACAGATCTTATACCATCTACTTGTACGTAATGAAGGAATCAGGTGAGTATCCAGCATTACTTTTTCTCTAGAAAGCTATGTGCAGGTTGAATGCCTGGTCTAAGTTTATAATAAGACCTTAAAAAAAAAAGTGTATTATAAGTATAAAAAAATATATAAAAAATAAATTATGACTTCAATTGGAATGATTAAAAATAACAACAGTTAGCACTGGTGTTAGCTGACTCCTAGTAGGTGCAGAGCAGTATTATCAACTATAAATGGTCTGCCCAGATCTTGCTAACAAAGCCAAGTGGTCCGTTGTCTGATACCTTTGTCTAAACATGAATATCTTGTATAAAAGCCTGAACTCCCCCACGTAAATCTCCTTACAGGGACTTGTCTTTTTTTTTGTGGGGGGAAGGGGAGGGGAGGAGAAATAAAATAAAAGTCATGCTAGGCTTGTGGTCAAAGATGCCTGGCCCATGGGTTCACTCATAAAATTAATTTCATAACTGCTTGGCAATGAAACACTGCTGGCAGTGCCCAAGAAGCTGCCCTCACTGATCCCTGCTGTTCTGGCAGACTGCTTTGCACACCAAGTAGAGCTCCTCTGTAAGCTGACAGAGACAAATGATTTCCTTGTATCATACGACTGTCTGCAAAGGCTGTAAGCAACCTCCTGTTCTGAGGGGCATGGAGAAGAGATCTTTGTGGGCAGTAGGGAGAAACTGGTCAAGAGCCAAAGCAGTCTAAAACTTCTGCTGCTGAGTGTTGCTCTTTTGGGGTGGGGGGTGGGGGGGAAAGAATGGAAGAGGCTTCCTTATTGCCTCAGATTAGTAGAAGACTTAGCCAGACTTAACAAGATACTGATGTGAGGGCACTGCCTTCTGAGATGCTTCCCATGAATGAAGCGTGCATTTTTGTACGTCTGAAGCAGATCATACAAGTGAATTGTATGGATATAAAAGGCTACAATGACTTGATACCAGTCTTACATACAAATAGGCAACTGTATCTGATATTTTTGTTAAAAACTACATCAGCTACCCTGTGTTCCATGGGTTCTGTGGCAAAAGCTTTCTACACAGATGGTTGAATCTCTCTACAAAAGGGGCTATAGAGAGAGAAATCTCTGCTGCTGCTTTTAAAACAAGCAGATGCACACTTGTTACTTGGCAGATTGGAAGGAATTTTGTTTGGATTTTTCTCTGGTCTGCAGAAAAACACATTTGCTCACCCTTGAAGGCTTTTGGAGCAGAGAGAGGGAAAACTTAGGATGTTAAGAAAATTAAATCTTAAGTTCAGCTCTGCTAGTAAGGAAACACATCAGCTTTCAAACAGCTGAGGGTCTAGCAAATTTCTGAATGACTAATGTAATCTTTTGGTCTTTTCTTGTTAGTTCACTATCAAACTTGATCTACCTAAAGAATTTAAAAACAAACAAAAACCTGAACTTGTTTAGAAAATAGCATTTGCTTGCTCACCACAGCCAGGCTGAGACATGGAGATTGGGAGAGTGAGGAGGCCTAGTTGTAAGAAATTTTATAATTTGGGGAAGCCAGACCCAGTACAGCAAGTTTTTGCTAGTCTTCACTTACACATTATTGTCTTCTGAGCCCTGGCACCTCTCTGCTCAACTAGCTTGAGCACTGACCTTGAAGTTAGATTTTGAACCTGTGCTAGAAACACTTCTCTTTCAAAGCAGATTTGATTTTGCATTGGATCATAACTAAAAACTTCACATGACCAAGCAGTTGCTGCTCTAGGAGCACAGCAGAGTGCTTACAAACTTAAAAAGTTCCCAGTATACTGCAGCTTTGGAAAAACTGGCCATCTTCCACTACTGACAGCACTGAACAGCTGGAGGGAGCTCCCAGAATAAACCAACTCACAGTTGCAGAACTTGGGAACATCTCTTGAGACTTGTGCCTTGGCTTTATATTAGGAAAAGTTTGAGTTGAAACTGAGCTTTCCAAACAATGTTGTAGAGCTGGGTGCAGATGTACGTTTTCCTTGATGCTGTGAAGACTTTTAGGCTTGGTGTTGTGCTGTCTGGAAGCATGGGCATGTCTGGCTGGTCAGAAGTGTAGAGAATGCATCTGCTCCAGCATGCAGGGCTGCGAGTCTGCATACTGTGGTGTTCTGAGAGGTGCAGCTGCTGTGCAACCAAAGGTCTCAGGGCTTCTGTTCCAGAGGATAGAGGAGTTGTGGTCCTATAGAAACTCGGGCTTGGTTATAGTGTTAAATCTGACATGGCAGGACTTACTGGAGGCATGTAGTCTGTGGTGGAAGGGCAGCCTTTGCCACCAAGCTCCATCAGATTCTTCTTGGGAAAGACGAAATTGGGGAGGGTGGCGAAGAGAGACCTTCTACATACATCCTTCATGGTTTCTGAGGGACAAGTGTAGAAAGCTTCAAAAACAAGAGGAAGGGGTAAGATCACTGCACAGACTGGCAGTAGATTTCTGGCTTCCTGCTTGAGCTTTTTCTGGATAGAAGAGCAAGCAGTCAAACACAGGATGAATGGAAACGGCTGATCTAGTTCTAACAGTATTGTTAAAAACCACCTCTCCCACAGCAAGTGCGATGAGCTCCCTCGTGACTGATGACAGTAACAAACCCCTGGGCAGCACATTCCAGCAAACAAGCGGGGGACAGCTTGGACCTTACAATGCTGCCTTCTTCGATGTACCTGACTGTGCAGTGCCCCCCAGGCTTGCTGATGTAGGAGGCATGAACAAAGTGCCTGACGTCTTGAAGCAATATCTCTTCAGAGTTGGGGACGATGGGACTTGTCTGTATGACCCGAACTTCCTAGGGGTCTGTAACCCACCGCTTTCCCCAGACACTACATACAGGTATAATTCTTGTTTCTGAAATGGTTGTTGCTGCTCTGAGTACTCAATAGGAAGCAAGATTTACCCTGTTGTAGACCTTTGAAATAGTATGATGTGAATTACCTCTCTCTACCAGAACTTCTCTATTGCAGGGGCAGTTGTGAGGCTGGCTTAGCTTTGGTCCAGCACCCTGCAGATGGTGTTCTGTGGTGCTCTCGCTGGGGTGAGCTCCATCAGGTTAAATTAATGGATCAGTAGAAAAATTCACATGTGAACTGCTGGCTCTATACTAAAGCTGGAGCATCTGATCAGAAACTGCTGGAAGAAAAGGATTTGACTGGAAAATGATGTCAGAATGATTCACTGTGTATGGTATTAGATGAGTCTGCCAAACCACAGACACGGGCTTGGCCCTCTTTGCTTTGTTTTGATGGGGCTCTGGGGAGCCAGAGCTCTTAGTGGCCTCCAGCTCCATCCAGGAAGTCCCTGATGTGACTGGAGACTTCACAGTGAGAGCCAGGTGGCTTGCAGGCTCATCTGACCCCTGCTGTCTGGGGAAGCTGGCCTTCAGGAGAGTCTGGGAGCCCTGACAGCTGTCACTTGTGACACTTGGTTTGCTGCTGCCTGCTCTTTAAAAGCTATATTAAAGGCAGCAGTCACATGAAGCTGGGGAGACTGAATATGCTTCTGAAACAAAATACTATGGGCAGGTTTTCAGAACTGTCTTGCTTCCTCTGTCTCCTTGGGACAATTCTGTAAACTCAAACTATTGCAGGATGGAAACTTAATTCCTTTGCCAAATCTGTTGTTAGCCTGTCTTTTCAATGCTTTCTCTAACAGGGAAAGTGCCAAAGGTCTCTATTGTTGGACAAAATCTTTGACTTCCATATGGAAATCAAAACCACTTGCTGTTCTAAATAACGAGGCCCTTCACAACAGGGAATAGCAAGCTGGGAAAAACTGTTTTTGGAAAGCTATCATCTGTCAAGGCTCACAAGAATGGAGCACAAGCTCTGCATGACATAGCACAGAATACTTTTTATATTATTAATTCTGTTTGTTCCCTATAAGGTCTCTGGAAAAAGCTGTTTACCTTTGATTGTTTCTGCTGAATGCTTTTCCAAAAACTGGAGTCTGACTAGCTAATCTGGTAGCTTACAAAATGATAGAAAGGCAACTCAAACTTTGAAATACCTAATTTAATGCTTTTTTCCCCCCACAGGTTTAAATATGTGTTGGTGGATAACTCTGAAGGTATGGTGAAAGATCAAACTCTTTGGTCTGATCCAATCAAAACCAGAAGAGGTAAGTCTGTGGCTCTGCTCAGGTTTTCTGAGTAGCCATACTTGCCTTAGGACAATGTTGCTCTTCTAGTGAGCAATGTCTAGTCTTTTCCTACAGTTTCAGCAATTTTGTCAGCTGTCCAGCATTGGAGTAGCAGACTTTAATATGGAATACCGATCTGCTTCTTTTGTATACTTCAGAACAGTTCTCTGATAAAGGTTGTATGCACAGTTTATGATTTGGTGCTTGCCACGGTATCTTGTGCTGAAGAAATTTCTAGGTAATGCAGGTACTTGCCACCCTGGCTAACCTGCTGAGCCAAGCTAATAACCTCTAAATGCTGAAACTGTCTTAAAACTTTTTCCTACAAATCACTTAGTCATCTGTTTTCCTCTCCAAAACAACTAGTTTTCCCTCATTTGGTAAAGGCACACATGGTGAAAAATAGATCATAGCAGCATTCTTTCCATGATTTTCTAGCCAAACTTCCCATGAAAATTGATACCTGGCCTGGTCGAAGGAGTGGAGGCATGATTGTCATCACATCAATTCTAAGTGTTTTGGTGTTCCTTCTGCTTACTGGCTTTCTTGCTTCTGTGTTTTTTGCTGTTATGTAAGTACTGCTACACCTTGCAACTTCTAGTCAGAGTACCTAACACATTAGTAATCAGACTTCTTGCCCCTAGTTCCAAGCTGCTGTTGCTAGCGATGTTTAAGATGATGTACCAGAGGATGTCCTTTTAATTTTGGACCTGGTAACAGAGGAAAAAAGCTACTTCTGTCATAATCTTCCCTACCAAGGCTAAGATTGATGCCTCTCATAATTATCATGTAGACTGAAACTCACTGGCTGTCAGACTTCAGTAAGGACAGCTGGGGGGTGGGGGGAAAGTAGAGCTGTACATACCTAAAGTTTATGTATTCTTTTACATATGACAGCTTTCCATTTATTAATGAGTTTGGAAACAGTCTTAAGGAGTTCAGGTCTTCATAGAGATCACATACTGTGCTAATTAGTGCCTGCTTAACTGTTTTACCTCTTCCACACGAGAAAGAAGTTACCACTTTGAATTAATAACTGAGGTCTTCCTGATGCTGTATAACTGAATTAGTCTATACATGTTCCTGACTTCTATGTCCCCTGCCTCAGGAAATTAAGGCAGCCTGGTTGATCCCTAAGCTGGGAGAATTAATCAAATTTCAGAAAATGGGTTTCAGGGATAATAAAATCTAACTCTTTTACTTGAAAATAATGCAAGTACTCTTTATTCAATGTGGAAAGCAAATACTGCAAATTATTATCTTAAAAATAATAATAATAAAAAATAGGCTTCTCTGATACTAAGTGATTTAAGTAGCAATTGGCCTCTGCAAAATGTTCTGACAGTAGGCTCCACTTAGTCTCTGCTGGAACTTAACAAAGCCTTTCACTTCTATGTTAGGAGATCAGAAGATGCTTCTGAAGAGACAAAGGGCACATCTCCAACTGTTCAAGAAAGTGAATCAAGACCACAGCTGAGCTCTGAGTGAAAAACCTGTTTCATGTCAAGCTGGAAACACAATTGAATTGTTACAGGTGTTAGACCTACAGGACTGTCTCCTACTGGACTCAACACTGGTCCACTGCTACAGTATGCAAACATGCAACTGCACATGAATAACACAGATGAAATAAGGACAATTTTAAAAAATAATAATGCAGTCTGTGATATCCTGTCTTTCCCTAATGAGATTTCATTTAGCTAACTGGCTTTTATAGCACCCATCAGGTACATGTTCTGAAGTAAGAAGATTAATGAGATCCTTCAACTTCAGTGGTGTGATGACAGGTTGTCTTGTACATGTTCTCATGTTGAGTCTACAGACTTCTGATGTGCTTCTCATGATCAGATGAACATGATGCAGCCATTTGTATCTCAACCCTTCTCTATAGTGACTGCTGTGAAACTAAAGAAAAACAAGCTGCTTTAGAAAAAGATGTTCTTAGATAAAAAGATGTTCTTAGAGAAAACTAAGGATTAAAAGGTAGACAACAGGGTACAAAAGGTAGCTGCTTCCTTTTTTTTGGTGACCATTTGTCATAAGTCATCCATTCTTTTCTCTCTTTCCTTAAAAAGAAGCAACCAAGTTCCAATTGCCCTGTATGTAGCAGAGTAATTTTCATCTCCAGTACTTAAATACCCTCAAACAGCTTTACAAGGCTAATACCAAACAAAATTACTTCAATTAATGTGTGCTCTTTCAGAGCTCAGTATAATCTGTTGATGGGCTAGTAATGGGGAGATACTGCTTCAGTGGAAAAAACATGAGTATATTCACTGCACTCAAGGTTGGCCTCATTCCTGACCTTTACCTTAGGCAGCAGCAAGCCAGAACTCCTCACATCTTAGTATCTGGGTTGGTGGGATTTGGAGGGTTGTTTGAACTATTTCTCCTTTTCTTCATTTTATGATCAGTTGGAGAGTAGAAATAAAGTTTTGCATCGGATTTAAATTATGTGCTACTTTTTTTTTTTTTTTTTCCCCCATTGATACCAGCTTCTTTACACACTGTTTTGTCTCTATAAATGACTTATGATGATTCACCTTCAAAGCCCTCTTCAGGAGGTATAAGCAACTGTCCCACTGTAGCAAGTGTTTCCTGGTGATAAACAGAGAGCTGTAAGTGGTTATTATTGATGTTCTTCTAAATTATCTTTAAATTAGTTGTCTCAGTTTATAAATGAGTAACAACTCTTTCAACACAGGTAGTTTACTGTCACTAATACAACTAGACAATTCTTGTACCACAACTTATTTCAGGGAGTGGGACTTATTCTCCTCAGAGCACGAAAATTAACATTTTTTGTGTAAAGTGAAACACTGTCAGGATGGAGTGCTGAGACTCCAGCTTCTGGTGACTGCAAAACTTAGGCCCAAGAGATTTGTATGTGAGGTCCCTCTGTTCAGTTGTCCTGAAGTGCAGTGTGTTAAAGCTTGCCTGCTTGCTGCCTGGGTTTTGGGCTGGGCTGACAGGGAGGTGGGAGAAAGCACTTTAAGGGAGAGATGGTTGCTGTGCCTGCTGATAGGAAATAATGGATGCCAAAGTACCAGGAATGCTATGGGTGGTTTTCTGTTGATATTTGTTTTGTGTGTTTGTGTTTAAATTGGTGCCTTGCTTTCCCTGTTCTTTGCTGCCTAGAGGCTGCTCTAAACACTGTTCTGAGGTGCTTTCCCATCCATCTATTGGGTAACCTGGAAGCAAGGGATATCTGGAGGAAAAGGCAGCATGAGCGTGCAATGCTGAGCATCAGAGTACATAAGAGATCCTTGTCCTGTTTGGCAAATATTTTGCTGAAGATGACAATCCTAAAAATACTCTTTCTAGGCAGTCCTGTTCTTAAGCAGGGGGGGGCTGTGAATGGAGCAGCTTTGGATTTTTGCAAGATCTTGCATGCCAGTGCCCATTTGTTATGCTGTGAACTAACAGGACTCTATATGGATAAAACAGCAGCCATGATGAATACCAGAACATGTTCACAACTACTTTTGCCTCTCCATATGGTATTTTCATTGGCTTAAATACTGACTTTTCTCCTCTGCTTCTGACTCCTTACTGAAGAAATGGTATGGAAATTCCTGTTTGGAGCCTATCAGAGGCTCCTGACTTTCATCCCAGTCACACAGGAAAAAAATATGAGGTATCAGAGATTAATAGCATTTCTTCAGTACACAGGTTTAAGATATGGAAAGTTTGGAGGGCATTGCCTAATTTTTTGAAAGAGTGAAGATGCAAAAAGACTACATCAATTTTTTTCATGAATTGTTGCCAAGTCTATCTGCATTTTTGTTCAAATATGATATAGATAAAACAAAAGGATATTTTCTGACCCTTACATAGGTTTCCATTACAGCACCAACAGAAACGAGACAAAACTGAACTATGATACTTGCTAGATGTTTTCTAGGTATTGTAGGTGACCCCACAAAATGTATTGAAAATGCTGATTGCAAGTGCTGTTATGTGGTGGAAAAGAAAAATGCCATCAATGGAGAGAGTCCAGGAACTGAAGTTCTGTTTGCACTTAACACTTTTATGTTGTACTCAGGTTTTATCAATGTTACACACGATGATGAACAAGCTGAACTTGAGATCCGTTTTCAAGAGCAGCTCTGAGACTTTGACCCATGCCTGCTGTTCTGCGCAGAGGAAAATGTAATCCTAATGGCATTAACTTGCCTGTAGTTGTGATCTCTGCTTCTGTTATTTCTTATTTGGATCTGGTATTTCTCTGGATGCTGTAATGAATAAACCAAACTGTGCTGTAGAAAAACTAGTGCTAGGATGCCGCTGTGGTACATGTTTTTACTTATACTCTGGGTTGAGATTCTAATACTGGTCTTCAGGACTGACTGGCAAACTACATTAAATTGTGTCTGCATCCCTCACCCCAGCATGCTCTCAGCTGAGGCCCCAGCAGAAAGTTGCCTTAGGTTCATTAGCAGAAGGACTGACTGCACTGAGATTCAGTACAGCTGAAAACTGAAGTTCGCCACTAGCAGCTGTGTGACCCGACTTGTTTGTGGAACTTGGATGTGGAAGAGAAGTGGGACAGGGTAAGAGCTAGACAATATGTCTGGTTTCAGGCACTCCCTTGATTGTGTGGTTTTGCCAATCCTGGGGCTGTCAGCTGCTAAAACATGGCTTTAATAACAGTGAATCATGTTAGTCTTGGGTTAACTAAAGACTCTTTTCTGTGCCAACTGTAATGATTTTTGTGAGGCATACAGAAGCAGATTGCTAAATTGTAGCATATCAAATAAAAATAACCTTTTAATGGGGGATAAATGAGCATAAATATGGCAAAGGCATGAAACAGGAGAGACAGTACATTGCGTTTCTTGAATGAGGTGTGTTCAGATGACAAGGCCTTCTGCTGCTTCAAACAAGTCTTCTCTGCTTTACTTTCACAAAACAGGTGCATAATTAATCACAAAAAATATTTTATATTATTTATATTTTATTATTTAATATTCCCCAGGGTGAGGGGAAGAGGTCATTGTCTCCAAACCTACTTTTTCTTTTTGTAAGCAATTCTGCAAATTATTTAATTGATTGTATGTTGGTAATAGACATTGTTTATGTCTTGGCTTATGTCACTGCAACAGCCAATGCAGTAATACATACACAATGAGAAGGTCTATCAGGCACCAATGAACTCCCTCCCATTTTGAGCCTGCCCCTAACAGTTGGAAACAGGACTAAGATGAAGGATATTGGTCTCAACAATATATACAGCCTTATTACTATGTTTCTGTTCTTCGAATTTATCAAAAGTGTTTTTACTAGTTTTCAAATTTGGAAATGGTTTTGGAATGCTGGCTGTAACTGCATACATTGACTGTTATTTCAGACAGGTCCTAGCTTATTTCTGCTTTACTTAGAAGCACGTGCCTACTTGGGGGGAAAAATCTGAGTGCTACTGCATTATAACTGCTGGCAGCTGCTATTCTACTTGGTTAAAGTACAGTTCTTACCCTGGTTTTGGGAGGTCACAATCCAATGAGCAATCAAGACATTTAGCAACTCAGAGAAGCTGTAATAACGTGGCACTGAACACCTCTCAAACCTCTCAAATCTAAATCCTAAGGAACTAGCAATGAGCTCTTGGCCTTAAGTAAGCGGCTTTGTTCTCACTCTTTCCCGCATCTTATAACATCTGCCTGGTTAAGGTTAATGTTTAGTATGCTTTTCTATACAGAACAGCTAAACATTATCTGACAGTGAAAAATAGTAACAGGCTGGCAATTCTTTCATGTATAGCTGAAGCTTATTGTGGCCAAAAAATATTACAATAAGTTGTCTGCTTTTATGGGAGACTAGTTTGTGAGTTTTGAGCCATTCTCACTTGAACAAGTGTGTGTATATTGCAAATCCTCTACCATAATTAGTAACATCTTTCAATGGCAAAGTCACAGCAGAATGAACTAGTTGCAAATGGCTTTTAAATGGCATTTAGTCCTCCACTGGCTACACTCGGTAAACTACACCATCCTCTGTACATGGTTTATTGCAAGTTCTGACTCTGATGCAATAAAGTACGCCAACTGTCAATCCAAGCATTGACAGTGCTGCTTGAAGAAATGTTCTGACTTTTTGCATCTTTGCTTGCAGGGGCTACGTGCTAACCTAAGCAAAATAACTGAGTACTGATTGCCTCGTGCGTTCATATGGCTGGCTGAGGGATTCAGGCTTCACAGTAGCGGAGGCCAGGTATAACGAATTGAAATTGTTTGGATTAAAATACAACAATTTTGTGTATGCTGAATGCTAGGTAGAGTTTAGTGGCATGAAGTTAAAATACAAAAACTTTCCCAATCTTACAGATATTTTTAGCTGTTGTGTTTGCACAAATGTTTTTTGCTTTCCTGTGAGACATTATGTGAACTGTGCAATTAAAACTTACTATTTATTTGGGAGGGTGATCGTCTACCTACCTGTAAAAGAGAACAATCAGCATAAACTCTGGACATCTGTATCTGTGACTTGGGTTAGTTGCTGGCTAACTGTGTTTATACACCCAAATGTACTGAGTGGGAGGCTTTGCATTGCAAAACAGAAGGGAAGAAAAAAAAAATATTTCTTTACAGAGGCACTACTGTAGAGTGAAGTGCAGCCAGAACTGGGGTGCAGTGAGGTAGGCGTATCTCACTGGTGTCATTATAATGCATTGGACAACAGTTTTGCAGGCATGAAAAGCCTATACTGGGAGACTACAAAACACTTTGCAACTAAAGATCATCAAACTTAAATTAGCTGTTGTGATGTTTATCAAATATCAAAATAATCCAGGCATTACTCTGCATTCATTCCTTTGTAGGTTTGTTGTTTCATCCTATAACAGCCTGTAAATTCCTCCACATTAAGACTGCCTTTGGGTGACATGCAAGCTCACCGTATTGCTGTTTCACAACTGGACTTATTTTGATGTACAGCTATAATGTTGTTAATATTGTCAAAACGTATCAATGCTGCAGGATGCATTTGCCTTTGCAGAACATATGTATCTAGGATACTAGGTAGGGTACTACTTTTATCCCACAACATTCCCATCATAGAATGGTTTTAGTTGCAAGGGACCTTAAAGATCTACCCCAACCCCTCTGCTGTGGGCAGGGATATCTTTCATGAGATCAGGTTGCTCAAAGCCCCCATCACACCTGGCCCTGAACGCTTTCAGTGTTTCAATTGACTGCAATTGATAGCATGTCATCTACCATCATTCACGTCCTCAATATTCAACATCAATATATTTATATAATGCTTTGTCTGCACACTTCTAGTCCTAGCCAAGTTTCAGTAATGTTGATAAAAATCAGACATTTCAGACCTCTTTTGCCATTTTGCCTACCTAGAGCTCTACTGGAGAAGTCTACGCCTCAGTCAGTAATAGAAAACTGATTATTTGCTGACTGATTATTTGCTATCTATTCTTCCTCAAGCCTTCTAATAGAACAACGGCCAAAGATTCCAGGAAAGATTACTTATATTCTGTAAACAAAGTTGGTGACATTTTCTGCATTATCTCTATAATCTAAAACTGTACATTAAGAAACATAGTAAGACTCCCTAGAAACTTTAATATCTCATCCCTAGAAAAAACTTTTTGAATACTGGATGGATTTTGCCACATCTTTGGCTGATCCACAGAATGTTAACGATCTTCCACATGTGCTAAAGGAAACTGAAAGGATACAAATCTGATCACAGGGTAATGTATTGTTTTCTCATATCTAATCGTTAAGGACATCATTATATTAGTCTTCATGCCTTGGTTCATTCCAGACAATATTCTCAATCCATTCTTTATTTAAATAGTACGTAATATTTGGAAAAGAGAAAATGGATGCAACACTTCTAGCAGAATGTTGCAGTTCTACAGTTATACAAATTGTACAAACTCAGCTCAATTTTTCTCCATTCAAAAAGCAGTAACCAGAGAACTTCAGAATCTTTTAGTTCTATTTCTCTTTTCTTTTCCATTAATACATTTTCTGGAGAGATTCTTGACTTGAAATTTTTGGATAATCTTACTCTTGAAACCACCTGTAGCATTGTAAGGGAAATGCTTTCTGTTGAACAGAACCTGTTTCATTTTAAAAAGAAAAGGGGTTTTGGCTTCTGCTAGGATATGGATCTTTTAGCTGAATATAATTTGCTGTGAGTTATCAAACAAATGCTTATTAATTTCTGAGAGCATAAACCATCTTTAGTACATAATATCAAATCAGAGTTTTTTATTAAAGGCCACATGATAAAAAGTATTGTTTTAAAGATTATGTGCATCAGCATCTTCTCTTTTCCTTTTTCCATATGTTTCTCCTTTGCTTCTATTTAATGAAAGTAAATCTGTCTCTCTTTCCAATGACGCAAACTCAACAGCCGCAGAACAGCCTCTCACCAGGTTGACAAGCTGGAGTACTTCCTGTACTGTGCCTTGGAACTGGAAGGGCTGTTCAGTTCAGACAGTGTCTACAAGTGCCCTTTGGTCATTTCAGCATTTGGGTTTTATACCACAATATATACCCAATTGCTGTTTGGGGGCTGCTAATTTTATGTAGCAGTTCTTAAACACATAGTTCTGTGTGTCTGTTGCTTCTGATTATACATATGAAAAACATTAATAATATTACTCTGGATACATCCATCTAGAAGGTATATTGATCTTTCAAACTGCATAACAATAGCACACCTACCAAAGAATGAGAAAGGACAGGAATACTATTGTATGCAACTGAAAAGATATCCTTTAAAATCTGGTTCTTTACTAATAATAGTGTTTGAATTTAGCCTCAGGACAGGAATTTCTTTTTTCCAAAGTAGCCTGCAAGAGTATGGGAGAAGCTTGTGCTGCGGTATAACCATTTTGCCCAGTTCAGGCAGACTTCAGCAGCATATATACGAAGGCTTAAAAGCACTTGGAATAATTTTCCCTATATTTCCTGACAAAAGAATGCAAAAAGGATAGTTGTTTACAATATCTAGTTCTATATCAACACATTCAGGACTAAAGGGGAAACAGAAGTACACAGGTGCAACATGAGGGTTTGCTATGAGACTGATGTTTCTGAGGGAAATGCCTAATTTCCTTGTTTATCTGTAAGCTAGTATTTATAGACACGATCAGTGGGTGTCCTCAATCTTCAACTGTTGTGACATTTCATTATTGCACTTGGCCATAAAGCACCAAATGACTAAAAATGAAGCACCAGATGAATTCAGTTAGTCTTTCCACTGATTTTGTTTAAAATAGCTCTTGTATTATGACTTTGGGGAATGATATATATATATTCTTCAAAACACTGTAAATTCCTTCTGGATGAAAGGAGTTATTTAAATACTGTTATAATTTCCTTAATGGTATGAGTAACTTTGGGATAGACTCTGTAATACAAGCCAAATCCACTACAGCCTGTTCATTTTCTCTGCATTTATACAAGGGGGCTTAGCAGCAGAATGCACTCTAGGACTGCAGTTCATTCTCAGGCAACATCCCGCTGAGATTAGCTGAAGGTTTGAAAGATTCTGCACAGTTGGGATCAGTTTATCAATACATGTTTTCTCCCATGTCTCTTTCCACCTCCTGGCATTAGCACAGCTGGCTAGAGTCCAGCT